TTGTCATATTCAGACTCTGATAAAAATCAATTTGTCACATTCAGACTGCCATAAAAAATCAATTTATCACATTCTGATTGCCATACAATTTTCAGATTTGTCGTCTTCAGATGAGAACAAAAAGGATTTGTCACATTCAGACTTCCATACATTCTAATTTGTCACATTCAGACTGCCATACAATTTCAGATTTGTCGTCTTCAGACTGGCACAAAAAAGATTTGTCACATCCAGACTGGAACAAAAAATTTGATATTTCACATTCTGATTGCCAGAACAAATAGATTTGTCACATTCAGATTGCCATAAATATTGGATGTGGCCCATTTTTGCCAGCAGTGTCATTGTAGCCTCTTTATCCAAACTGAGGTCATTTTAATACAACAGGTAGGTTGTAAGATATTAATTGTTCATAATATCTCCACAGAACGCACCTTTAAAGGACCTGAACTACCTTTGTGTTGGTCTGGACCAGTAATGGGGATGCAGATGATTTAGCAGCCAAATAGTTGAGTTTTTCCATTAAACTGAGAAAACTGGCAGCAGAGCAGTTAAACATGGCGGGGGGTGGACGCAGGCAGGAATGAACCTTTCCTGCATCGACTGGTGAGCAGAGAAGACAGATAAAAGCAGCTAAAATAACTCACGCACACACCCGCAAAGATTCCCGTTCCGCGCACAAAACTCGTTACATAACTCTTGAACCTAAATCAAAGCTGCGGCACAAGTGCGCGCGCACCTTTTTAATGCTTTTAATCAAAGTGTGACACAGACCTGCTCGAGTCGGTCCTGCAGGACCTGGAAGGACTGGGACAGGTCCCGCGTCTGTCTCCAGGTCCACGCCGTGAACAGCGCGCTGCACGCGGCCAGAGACAGCGCGGCCCAGACGAGCCGCAGTTTGCGCACTCTCCTCCTCTGCAGAACCCGCTGCATGTTTGGGCGCACTCCCTCCCCGCACAGCTATACCCGCTCACCTCCGCACAGCCCCCCCAGAGGCGCTCAGTAACTCCATCCCCGCAGTGCAAGTCCCCGCAGACGCGTTCCGCTCCAAATGTCCATTCCGTGAGTGGAGACGCGCAAGAGACGCACGACAGGACTCCGTCAGTCCCGGCTTTATTATTATTATTATTATGTATTTAATTATTTTAAAATCTCCCAGATGACTCAATAAAGTTGCATGAAGTCGGACTGGGTCAGAACCACCATCCTCCCCGCGCGCTGACGGTCCCTGAAGACGAGAAAAGCGCAGCTCGCGCGCATCAGCTGTTGCATCCTGCTGCTGGCGATTTGTTGACTCAGCGCTCTTGTCTTCCCTTTAAACGGAGCCCTGGGGGGTCAGTCTATTAGGCAGTCAGACTGAGCACACGCACGCTTCTGCTGGTGTGTGTGTGTGTGTTTGGGGGGGGGGGGGGGGGG